TGGTCCACAGGGGGAGCCACAGCGATCGGTCGCATTTTAGCCATTTTGAAGCATTTTTCTGTTGTTATAGCGCCACCCAGTTGCCAATTAGAGTTAAATTTCTCCAGTCACCTTGAGGCGTCCTGTTCTACATATCTACCAAGTTTAGTAAAAATCCATATGGCGGTTAGGCCTAGATAAGAAATGAGCTCTCTAGCGCCCCCATTTTGTTTGATGGGGTCAATAATGGAGGGGTCCCCTCAGATTATGTGTGGTCATATGCCTACAAAGTTGCGTGGTGATGGGTGAAACCCTTGAGATGTTATACACCTTTATGTGATGAGCCACGCCCTCCGCAATATTCATTGCCTTATAGAAGCTCAGTTTTAGTAAGTTTTCCAACTTTTGCCAAGAGGGAACTTTAGATATTGGTCCCTAGATTATGTTCACCCAGTTTCATGCAGATCGCTCAAACTTCCTAGGAAGAGATCCATTTGAAGTGTTTTTCAAAAAATTCAAAATGGTGGAAAATCTATATAAGCGGAAGTTATGGGTTCTTGAGGCAGATGTGTTCCTCATGAGGAGAGGCATCTCTGTGCAAAGTTTCATGTCTCTACCACATACGGGGCATGAGATATGCCCATTCAAAGTTTGACATTTCAATGGGTTACTATAGCGCCCCCCTTTGGCCAATTGATGTAATATTGCTTCATTGGCATCCTCCCATGACCCTCTACCACTGTGCCAAATTTCACATGGATTGACCAAGTCAGTGAGGAGAAAAACGTGGAACACACACACAGAGTTTTCCTCATTATATAGTGAGATTATTATCAAGGGTGTGTTTTAATGTCCGTCACAGCAGTGACGGGGTCAGGACTGAGATGCTCGTGCCTCACTGATGGAAACCCACGGGCTCTGACTAATACTTGTGCAGCAACTACTGTCATTGTAAAAAGCTGCTAAAAAGCAGAACAGACTCATAACTCCTTCAAAGAAATTCATGCTGAATTTCAGAGATGCGTTTCATGGTGCTACAGCAAACATAAAACTGGGATAACGGACAAAATGAGATTAAACGTTACACTACTTGATATTATGATCAATAGAACTCACTCCCTTTGTCTAAGTGACGCCACACTAATGAATGAACAGGTGAAATGATGTGAAACCACGCCCTCTGTGCCAATTACAACTACAGGAAGTGAAAGTGACCATAACAACGTACACAAATAATAAAAACCATAGGTTGAATCCGCATTCTGGCAAGCAAGTAGTTGGAACCTCAGTAACGACCTGCAGACACGTCTTCTCGTGCAACATGAGCTTCATACTTTCTAGAGATGGTTGTGTTTCTCCAGATACACTGTCTTGTTGACTGCTCAGCTAGCTCAGTCTTGTTACGACTTAGATATCTGGTAGCTGATTTGACCTCAGTCTAACTGCCTGTTGACCAATCAGATTGCTCAGCTGGTGCTACTTGTTGTATGAGTCATTATAAACTGTGTCTGAGCTCTGTTGTTCATCTTTATTCTTTGATGGGTTGATTTACTGTAATAAAGACATTTAATTGTTTATGTTCTCAGGTCTCTCCTGGAAATCACATCTCACTCTGACTAAATAAAGACACTGATGATGATGTAATTCAGATAAACAGATTTTATCTGTTGAGTTAACGGAGCTGTGACGGGACCAACAGGCGACGTCCTCCCGTCATCATGTTTCCTTTGAAACTAAAATCTGTCTCATCACTTCTGAAGACTGTAAAACAACACACTCAAATGTTTTTAATGCTGCGTCAGATGAACTGAAGGATTTAATGTTTATTTAATTTTCCCTGATGGGAGTGGAAATTATTCTTAAGCTTAATAAACTATTTAAAATCATCTCTTTGCTTCAGCTGAACAGTACGGAGGATGGAAGTCACCAAAATAAAAATTAATTAACGACAGACACAGACCCTGCAGACCTCCTGCTCTCCCTCTGGTTCTCCAACACGCTCTGCTCTGGCTCTGGCTCGACTCTGAGCCGCCTGGCTCCGTCCCACAACCTCTAAGCAGCCTCCAGGAAGTCCCTCTGACCCAGGCTGAGCTCTGCTCCTCCACCAGAGAACCAGGGGGACGATGGGAGGTCAGTGGGGTCTGTGCCCACAGCTGAAGGGCCTCTAATTACTTTGCTCCAGTTCCCACATACTCCTAAATGTGCAACTGAGGATTTTCAACCTTTTCTCATCCCAACTCGCCACATATCGCCGCTCGGTCAGTGACGTTAACGTCTACATGTGACGCGCTGGGTATCATCCTGCGTTTGTTGTTGCATTCTGGGATGGTCTGACAATTTACACAGTGCAACAAAAGCACGTGGTCAGATTTAGAAACCAACATCATGGTGTGAGTCTACATTAAAACAGGAAGTGAACAGCAGGTTCCAGGGTGAAAGTCCAGGGTTTGTTGGACCCATCCTCCCCTACCGCCTGCCCTATACAGACTTCCTCACTCTTATATTATGTTGTTACTGGCAGTGATCAAACTGACGCCGTCCAGCAGTGTATCTACCACCGACACAGGTTCTGTCTGACCACGTTATTAACTGACACCACGTGGCGTCGTATCATAACCGCTGAAAACGTGGCTGTTGCCCAAATCAGATAAAGCTGTCGTCTCTGACGACTTTGGAATAAAGGCAGACTGAGAATTCGTTCCCCCGCTCTCCAAACACAATGTTTATTTGCTATGATTGGATAAACAATGTTTCGCACTCTAGCCAATGACAGCACAGCAGGGCGGGACTAAACCCTCCCACTAATTTGCATAACGAAGAAGAAACACATTAAGAAATGTAAGACAAAATGTACAAGGACAGTAAGCCAGAAATAAATGCATTTGGTGAAATAAAATAAAGGGAAAATAACAAATAAATAAATATATATTTTTAATATTCTTTTTCAAATAAATAAAAGTTAAATGCAAAAAATGTATAACTACAATGGAAAATAAATAAAGAAGCAAATTAAAACAGAAATATTATTTTATGTCACATTTAATTAATTAATTAATACCTGAATTTATATTTAATGTTATTTTTTGGTATATTCAATGCGATAATAATTTATTTACTGTGTCATTTATTTCTGATCATATATCAATCTGTCCTGGGAACGTCTCGAGATCCTCCCGGAGGAGCTGGTGAGACGGACGTCTGGAGTACTTTGCTCAGCGTGCTGCCTCCATGACCCGGCCTCAGATAAGAGGAGGAGTCATTTATTTATTAATTTATTAATTCATCTATTTTTGATGTTGCCAGCTTTCGTCCTCCATAGACAGTGCATCACCACGAAGCTGAAAACACGGCTTGTGAAAAGTGACATGTTGGAGGTTTCTACTGGACGGGACATGTTACACACGTGTGTTCCTACAGGTCGCTCTTCAATAACAGATCTTTACTATTATTTAATAATCAATAATCAAAGTGGTGAAGACAAAGTGGAGACGTGTCTTTGGAGGAAAAACTTTGCTGTTTGACAACAACTGAGGTGAGACAAAGGGAAAAAAAGCTAATCTCCATCATCATCATCATCATCATCGTCATCGTCATCATCTGGCGCTGCCTTCACAGTCTTTAATCCTAATAAAAGTGACAGCTGCTGTGGCGGCGGGGCGTTCACTGTCAGAGACTTACCTCCTCAGGTGTGGCCACGAAGTTGATGGCGGTGTAGTAGCGGTCGTCCTCCTGCGACAGGCTGAAGGTGAACTGGTAGTCGATGAGGAGCGTGTCTGTTTGAAGTGATGGCGCCGGCGGTGCGGGTGTGGGAGAGCGTGGTGGGGATTACAAAACAAGAAGAAGAAGAAGAAGAGGAGCTCGATTAGTTTGAAAGTCACACAGGAACATGTTTTCACACGGCGCTCAGGGCAGGAAATTACCCACAGCTCCTTCTGTTGTTAAAGGTGTATTGACTTTCCTGGAAGAACCTGAAGATTTGGGAGCGAGCTGTGATGAAGGTCGTGATAGAGGTCGGGTTTTATGTCTGTGTGTGTGTGAGCCTGCCTGAAACAGCAGCTGGGATCTCTGTCACCAGACCATAATAATAAAATGTCAGTGAGTTCAGAAACAGGAAGCTGACCATGAACTGGACACGGACCAAATGACTTCCATGTTTCAAACTTTTCTGTCCACTTGTTTTTCGACACATCTCCTGATATGAAAACTTTAAAATCATAAAACTAACATCCTGTCGCACTATATTCCAAAACTCATGTTGGTTTGAATCATCGTAGGGAAAATAGCTTCTGCAACCTCAGGGTCAGTTTAACTCCTTTCGTACAGGAGACACGTTTACAACACAAGCACGTGGTTAAAAAACTCCACCAGTGTTTGTGACTGCTGTCAAAGGTTAATGTCCGAATGTGGTTAAACTCACATTAATGCTAAACTGTTGAAAAGCTTCTTTGTTTCATAACACTGAAACCTAAATTCTAAATCAGCAAACATTCAAATTCAAAGCAGCTTTTTTATGCCTCAGCGCCAGCGATAGCCTCAGCCAGAGGCATTATGTTTTCAGGTTGTCCATTCATCCGTCCCATCCTTGTGAACAATTTGAATTGGTGGTCAAAGGTCAAGGTCACTGTGACCTTGCATCTGTCCCATTCTTTTGATCTCAGTATCTCAAAAACACCCTGAGGGAATTTCTTTAAATTTGACACAAACGTCCACTTGGACTGAAAAATAATGAGATTGGAATTTTGTGGTCAAAGGTCAAGATAACTGTGACCATAAGTCAAGAATCCATATGTAACTGTAACATGGATGCTTCACACACAGAAGATCTATACAATTAGCACAGGTTCAAGATTAGAGTCACCAATTCAGTATCTGACCAAATGTCTCCCCTTCTGTTCCTGAGATATGACGTTAAAACATGATGATGTCACAGTCAAGCTGACCTTTGACCTTCCGGATATAAAATGTCATCACTTCATTATTTGAGAGACCTTGAACTGTGACCTTGGACCACCAAATTCAGAACAGTTTATTCATGAGTCCAAATGAATGTTTGTGCCAAATTTGAGGAAATTTCCTTGAGGCCTTCTTGAGATTTTGTTCACAAAATAAGACGGACTCAGGGTCACAGTGACCTTTGACCACAAAATTCCAATCAATTCATCTTTGAGTACAAATCAACATTTGTGCCAAATTTGAGGAAATGCCTTCAAGGCGTTGTTGAGATATCACATTCACAAGAATGAGACAGATGGTGTGACGACCCGTAAACATAATGCCTGCTGCCGTGACTATCAGTGGGACAGAGGCATAAAAACAAGACCCAAAGTTCCAGTGCAGTGTGAGAAATGAATAAATATTTGATTTAATAAAAGACAGTCGCTGAGAGCTGCAGCAGACCTGCAGGTTTCTGGGAGTGTGTTGCACATATGTGGTGAATTAAAGATAAAACACTGCTGCTCCATGTTTAATACAGGTGGTTAACCGTCGGACGACACAAGTTAACCTGTTTAGTTCGACAGCGAATGAGAGCTGTCAGTCGGACAAAGGTATAGGTCTGTTGAGTCCTACAGGCCTGCTGTTACTTCAGTATCAGACACTTACATTTAATGCTCTTAAGACATTTTCAGATCATTTTTGACCAAATTTAAGACATATTTTTGGACAATTATAAATTATCTAAGATTTGTGACATCAGAAATGTGAAGTTTGACGCAGACGAGCTCGACTAATTTTGACGAAAATAAATTAAAAGATGGATAAATTAAATTCAATCAAATGTTTGTGGCAATTAAGATTTCAATTTCAAATTTAAAACGACTTCATGACTTTAAAACTTTTCAAACCAAGTAACACACTCAGGCAAAAACTGGTACACCCCAAAGACAGGGTACCACACACTCAAAAAAGCAACTTGGTATATGCTGTCCAATGCAGTGAGGAATGCAAGGACTCATACATTGGTGAAACCAAACAACCATTAAACAAGCGCATGGCTCAACACAGAAGGGCAAACTCCTCAGGTCCAGTTTCTGCTGTTTATTTACATCTAAAGGAGAAGGCTCACTCCTTTGAGGACAGCAATGTGAAAATCTTGGACAGAGAGGACAGATGGTTTGAAAGAGGGGTGAAAGAATCCATCTACGTTAAAATAGAGAAACCGTCTCTAAACAGGGGAGGTGGCCTGAGACACCACCTATCCCCCATTTACAATGCGGCCCTTGCTGCTGTACCTAAGAGATTGAACAACAAAGACTGCCCGAAACTAACCTCAAGTGGCTCAAAGAAACTCAACGACAGTCGTTCACTGGTAACCACACATCATGCCTAACGACTGTTGCTCACCAGTGGCCCCACCCCAGTGGCCCCACCCACTCCTAACGACCGTCGTTCACTAGTGTGACTCACCTGACCCAAACAATGGTCCAGTGAAACTCCACTAACGAAGTATTGTCTTATGAGGGTGGTGGGTGTACACCTCCACAGAGGTTAAAAACCTGAGTCTTACTCCACTGTTTGTCAGACTAGTGAGGACTAGTCAGACTGATGCGTTGAGAACTGATGAAGCCGCTTGGATAAGAGGCGAAACGTCTTCTAGACAAAAGAGATTTAAAGCACGACTCGAAACATATCTTATTAATAAAATCTATGACTAGAAGTCATCTGTTTTAACATTTTTTTCTGAATTAATTGATTGACTGATAAATTAATTCATTTATTTAAGTGTTGTCAAATTGTATGGTTTTATCTCTTTGCTGTGTTTGTATCTGTCGCCAGGTGTGATATAAAAACAGTTCATTCATTCATTCATAAAGACTTTCTAAGAACCTGCAGACAGCCTGTACTTTAGCTCCCTCTGTGTCTCTGAAACATTATAAGCTCACAGAATAATGATGAATAAGTGTCTGAGGACCAACTTTAGTTAAATTCTGCGATGTCACATTTGACACGACGTCATCAGAGCTGACAGGAATATTAATGACAGAGACTGATCTGCAGTGTGGACGGCGGTGCTGCAGCGTCTCATCACAGCAGCAGGCAAAGAGAAAGACGGCCCTTCAAACGCTCCAGCACCTCGCTCTGCGGCGACTCTCTTTCATCTGTGGATTCTTTCCACCTGCGACCTGTCTGAACACGCCGTCTCTCCTCTGGCTGTTATTTCTTTAAACATCGCACCACTTTGAGACCTACTTTGATTTAAGAGCCGTGTAACTGTCTCAGCACTGACCTGAACAAGGGAGAGAGTACGGCCTCACAGTGGTGTCTTAATATGACCCTCACACACGCACGCACGCACGCATGCACGCACGCATGCACACACGTAGTTGGTGAAGTTGGTAATTGGAATTCCACTTACAGTAACATGTTCCTTTGAGGGGGTTGCCTTGGTAACGATTCTCGACTTCACACCTGAAAGAGAGAGAGGTGGACGATGGATGAAGAGAAATGAGGCACAACACGAGAGAAGGAGAAGAAGGGAAGGAGACAGAGAGGAAGAGAATTGAATTAAGATGATTTAATCACAGGTATAAACAAAGCAGCGTCGCACACGGCGGCGTGAGCCCTAACCTTCAGTCGGCTACAGCGCTGCCGCCATGAAAAGGGAACAGATAGAGAAGGCGTCATGAAAAGACACTTTCTGTCCACAGAAACAGCCTCAGTTTCATTTGTGAAATGGTGTCTCAGGTTTTTAACGGGCTTCAGGAGGCGCTGTGGCGATGAAGGTCAGGATTATAACGAGTGCTGCTGGCACTGACGAAGAGCTGGGATTATGGTCAGAGAAGAACATGGAGGGTACCAGATCATTTCTTAAAATATATATCAACATGTTGGCTCACAGGATTTAGTCAAAATTATTTTTTTAGCATTTTGCCTTTGTTGATTGAGGCAGTCTGGGGGTGGGAGGGGATGACGTGCATCAGGGGGCCGCGGCTACAGTGGCAAGAACATTGCCTTCGTATATGGGACGCCTGCTCTGAAGGGCACCCACTAAGCCACCGGGTGCCCCAAAAATATATTTGTAAACAAAATCCCTGAGTGTAAAGTGGTTCAATTTGTTTGTCTGGACCACAGACGTAAGGTCAGACTGATAAACACCAACATCTGTCTGTAAGTGAGCAAGTGAGTTTACACAATCAGTCGGAGTGAGAAATGACGTGTGAGTTGGTGTTTCCTCATTGGCCGTTGCTCCTTCGCTGACGGTCCTGTATTAGCTGCCGTACACATGCTGCTTGTTTTGCACCCTCAAATTCATTGTTTTTAATGTTGGCACACTCAAACAGCAAAGCAACGTCGTCGTGTCGCAGATGCTCTGAGATAAACAGAGTTCAACTTTTGGAAGGCAGAAGCGTGCACCGATGTCATGTGACGAGGGTCCACCAATAACAGCGATATCCTTCCCTTCTTCTATAAATATCAGTCCGTCTGTGGCTGTCAGAGCATCACATCTGTCCCACGGACAAACAGGAAGAAGATCAGCTCTGCGCTCAGGATTTCAGGCTGTGATACGATGCTGGTTAAGGTTGCTTAGCAACCTCAGACCTGCTGCTGCGCTCTTGAAAGGCACGAGAGTAGCACCAAGCGCCTGACCTTGTGTTTTCCAGGCGGTTAAAGACGCAGCATGTGTACAGGCTCTTACTGTGTTCTTCATCTTCTGTAACCAGTGTCACATGATAGCACGGTGGGATTAGCAAGCTAGCTCGCTAACTAGCCAGCCGCTACGTGAGTAGAATTTAACGTAATGCTTCGGTCACACTCTCATCACAGCGTAGGAAAACACATCGTTATCATCAGATGAGTGACAAGATTGCTCACTCCATTTTCTGTAACCATGGTAACGGTAGAACTAAAAGTATGGGGGCATTCGCAAGCTAGCTCGCTGCTTTGACGGAGGAAAGAGAGACAAAAGAGAAAAGATCTCTTGTTTTCAGTCCGTGGCATAGACCGTGTCATCACTACTAGAAATGCAACTATAGCCAGTATCTCACAAACACTGTGCTGCAAAGACACTAAACATTTTATCCAGCTTCAGAAAAAGCTTGAAAAGCCAGAAGTTAGAATGAAAGTAAAGATAGTTGCTGCTTCGGAGATGATGCACAGTCTCGTCGAGTCACATTACTTAAGGTTTCAGAAAGACGCTCTGAGCTGAGCTTTAAACAGGACGGAGGAGGGAAGAGGACAATGACAGAGGAACAGTAAAGTGAAACTCACAGGTGGCAGCGATCTCCTTTGATGCCTTTAGTGGTGCAGAAACATTTGCCGTTGTTGGGGTTGCACATGCTGGCGTGGCCGTTACACTTGCAGGCTGAACAAAACACATGAAACATCAACATGAAGAGCCTCAGTAAAACAGAACAAACACATTTCAATCTTAAATGACTGATGTTAGAGGAGGACAGTGAGGACAAAATCAATTTAATATCACTTCATCAGTATGTGTCACGACACAGTGACTTCTGTACATTCAATAATGGTTTAAAATAACTTCATCATACTTCATCTGATTATTTCCAGTTACAAGGTGCCTCAGAACAATAATTTCACCTGTTACAGGTTTCTACATTCACAACTTCACAGTCCTGCTCTGTGGCCGCCCAAATTGAAATTATCCTGCGAGGCAGCTGGATACATGAGATCACGCGAGAATCATGAGATGTTGTAACAATCACAAGAGAATCCAGCCCTGATTTGCTACACAGGGTGTTTTTCATTACGCAAACACGTCTCCTGTCTCCTCTCACTCATGTCTCTTCCTTGTACCTTAGCTCGATGCAGAGAGGAGCCACATGTGGAGCTTCTTAAAGTCAAGGAAGGATCCTTCAACAGCTGAATTTCAAGGAGGCTGCGTCATCGAATCCTGTCAGCGGACTGTTCTAATGTCAAGGATCCATCAAATTCTACTGAGACCAAGTCCTTCCTTTAGAGAACTTTCAAAGACGCATGTGTGTGTATTCTCAGCGGGCATGAAGTTCCCACACTTCTTTGTTCACATTTTTGGGGGTTAGCATAATGAAAAGCACCTTTGCTGTCTTCTTCTAGTCGTCATCAGTTATTTCGGTTTTCAGCTGTTTAGAGGAGCCCATGGCTGCTGATTGTTGGGACAAGCTTTCAGGACTCAGAGTATTTATAAAGCTTTGTAATTGCTTCACCTGGCCTTTCCTAACGATGACTGTGAAGAAGCCAGAGCCCTAACAAGCTCATTAAGGTCTGAGATAAAAGTTTGAGAGCTCAAATGTCTCGGGGTGCCCAAACTGTTGCACAGTGCTCCTTTTGTGTTTTTTTACTATAAGGCTGCTCTCAGCCCTAGAGTGGTCTCCTCTGGTCTGAATCAGGGACTCATGTTGTTCCAAAGTTGTATAATTGCCTAGAGTTGGTTGGTGTTCTCACGGCAGCATTTACAAGAGGACCAGATCAAATGCCTTGTGTGAGAAAGCTGCTCTTGATTGGTCAGAATTTCCATGTGGGAAAAATCCAGGAAGTAAAGCAAACGTTGAAGAAGAGTACACTTGCAAGATAAATGTGACACTTTCTAATGTCACAATGGAGGGACAACTACGCAGGTTGATTTTAGCGCTGCTCATCGTGGACTATATTGCTGTCATTGTTCATTTTAGTCAAACCATACAGTTTGAAAACGAGGCGCGGCTCCAACTAGAAAACAATGTTTTGATGCATTGGATGTGCTGAATGTGCATATTAAGGCAGTACAGGAGGAGGTGCACATTAATAATCCTCCAGGACTGTAACATGCTCATGTTTAACCCAAACAATGTGTCATGTGACTGCAGTTGCTTCACATCCAGGTCGCAACACCTTCTCACCACAAACCAACCGCACCAGAGTTCCTTTGGAACCGGACTGAGACCACCTCTTCAAGAAGGTCTCTGTCTGGTTGTTTTGGTGTGTTCACACCTGCTCAAACGAACCGCACTGAGGGGGCAAACACACCTGAGTTTGACTGACTCGAACCAAACAGGGCAGGTGTGACAGCAGCCTAAAATTGTACAAAATAAAAATAAAACACCGACCCTGCGTATAATGTTGAAAAACATGTTTCATCTTTAGCTTCATGTCTTTTGGAGATCATTTCATCTTCTACTCACTTAACTATTCACAGGAAACCCAAACGTTTGCCTGACACTGTGATGTTTGCACTGAATCAGAGCGTTTCCTGTACGTCTCAAATAGAGGTTGACACAGTTCTGTCTGGTTTGATGGAAACTCTTCTTCCCTGAATGTTTCATTGGGGTCAACTGTCTCGTTCTCCAGAGAGAAGGACACGAGGGAAATAAATAAACACTGTTGCCACCATCAAAGAGTTTAGCTCCAGAGCCAAGTGTGTGTCCACAGGTGAACTTAAATGTTGTATCTTCCTAACGAGTTTTGGCTCCCACCCACCAGAGGTGACTTTCCACGTCCCAGGAGACAGTTTCTGTGTCCGTTAACAGATGCCAAATGTCTATTAGGGTTTGGTGCGTTTGAGGACCAGTTTTATAACACCTGTATAAATGTTAATGTTTGCCGTCCTTCGCATTAAGTCAGTTCATCATTTTTAAAGATGGCTGAGCCTCCGGGTACAAACAGCTGCGACTGATGTAGAAATGTGTGGGTGACAGCGGGGGACAGCTGGCGGAATAACAAGCCATATTGTGATTTTATTCTTATTTATAGCAGCTGTGTGTTCTCTTGATTATTTGTTCATCGTCTCCTTTCTGAGGTATTGATTGTGCACTTTTGTTTCGGCTCCTGAGTCAAACTGAAATAAAGAAAGCCTTTAATGTCCCCAAGGAGGGACGCTGCTGCGAGGAGGAGGCAGAGAAGAAGAAGAAGAACAAAACGGATGCACAACAGTGACAAGATAAAGATATGCAGAGAGGCTGGTTTACGGCTGTCACTGATGTAGGAACAGGTAAATACTGGATACGCTCCAGAGGAACACCTGGAGTTAGTGCCAAAATAAAGATGAAATCTCAAAAACACACAGCGTGGCTGAATTATATTGGTAAGCTAAATTAAGCTGCTGAAGGAACGGACGATTGATTTGTTGTCTGATTGACTGGCTGTCAGCATTAGCTGCACAGCAGAGTAAATCTTAAATATCCCACAGGAGCGCCTCGCCGTGCAGCCAGGACTCAGGAAAATGGCAGACATAAAACTCAACTGTAAAATACTGACAAGTTAAATGAAGCCGTGCGCGGGAAGACTGACTGGCGTGATTTAGTGGCGAGCCCAACGGGCCGCAGATACTCACGCTGGCAGGTGCCCCCGTTGGTCGGATCTCCGTAGAAGCCAGAGATGCAGCTCTCGCAGTGTCGGCCGGTTGTCAGGTCCTCGCACTTCTCACACACACTCTCGTTGATACACTGGCTGTGACCGTTACACTGACAAGCTGCCGGAGAGGAAACAAAACACACACACACAGAAATTCAGTTTTTTATTAAACAGCCTGAGGCCCAAACAGGAATGAATCTGAGTTAATTTGTGAGTAGAGAAAGTAATTTACAGTCTGAGGTGTGTTTGAGTTGTGAACTGTCTGCTGGAGCTGAGCGTGACAAATAGTGTTCGTTTGATATTCTCTGCGCTCGCCACGTTCATCTGTCAAGATCTGATACAGCTGAGAGAGGTCACAGAGGTCACTGCAGGTAAATCTGTTAGTCTGAGATTATAGAACACTCCCTGTGACTGGGTGACGGTGTAACGATCCATCGATCTGAATCGATATATGGATCCAATGATCAACGATCCAATATCTATAATGTAAAGTGAAAACATTGATCCATCATCATCGTCTTCAGGAAACGCTTTTATTTTGAAATTCTATGTCAGCGTCAAACAGCAGCACGCGGACAGATACAAAGAAAGACGATGAGGGTCATGATATCACTGGGGCAAAGAATCAGCAGTGTGGAAATATTCTGGATATGAAGTTATCATTACGAGATAAAACACAACGTACCAGCCTGGACGACATCTCACTCCGCTAACGTCTCACTACAGCAACATCAGCTGCTGGTTTCACAATGTTCGGCTGAAAAAACGTTCATGCAGGCTGAAATTCAACCGAACTGCTCCGTCGAGGAGCGACTTAAACTAACAACCAGGAAGAAAAATAATGACGTGCAGCCTGAAAGCTGCGAAAGAGACTGACACTGTGAAAGACACGTCTGTAACTCAGTGGACACATTTTTTGAGCATCATAACCTCCACAAATTACTTGTTTCACCATCAGGGTTTAATCCATTCTGTCTGATAACATTTGTAGAGTCTAAAAGAGCTGCGAGATCAAATCATTTCATCCCCATTCAAATTAGCAGAGCGCTAAACAGGAAGTGAGTCGGTTGGCGGGAGTTAGCCACTCGGCCGCGCTCAACAGTTCTAAGTCTCTGGTGCGCCTGCTCTGTGGGCCGCACAGTGCTCAAGTGCTAATAAACATCTGGGTAACATTACACGCTGCAGTGGAAACATCTTGGCTTCATGCACCACTGAGCAGTTTTCATATAAAGGAACAGGAACTCATCCTTTACATTGTGATGACGCCATGGATTTTAAATCGCATCTCTCGGCTCCAGGAAAGTTTTACAGACATCAAACCTCCATGGAGCAAAGACTCAGAATAGAAAAAGTCATGATCGGCCTTATGTGCAGTTGGAGGCGTCAACAGTTTGACAGACGTCTCTTTATAAGTGTGGGACAAATGTGGGGAAATAATTTTTAGGCTGAGGGGATTGTTTCTGCTGCAGTACTGTGAGTGGCCACTGGGAAAGATTGGAGGCAAGGCTGAGCAGCGTTCCTGGGAGCCTGGTCGGTACGGCTCGCTTCCACCAGACCTGACTGGTGCACAGTGCAGTAAACTGAAGAGCAGCAAAATGAACCTGCAGACTGACACGTGTGCCTGGTCAAAGATATTCTCTGCGGTTAACGTAACATTGCGTTGAATAAAATCAGAACTGTTTCCACCTGTGTGTTAGTAAATACCATTTATAGAACACATTAACAGAAATCAGTATTTTTAAATGACCAATATCTTCGATTACAAACCAAACTAAGAGTTAAATCTTCCGTACCTGGGCAGTGGATGAAGGACCAGTTGTATTTGGCCTCACTGGGGCACATGCTGGCGTTGAGGGCCGGCTGAGGGCTGGCGGGGAGGCCTGGGAGGGTGGACGGGGCCGGGACCGAGGTCTGGAAGGGCCCGCGGTACGAGCCCTCGATGCACTGACCTTTGCCCGTGTTGCTGGGGTCGGTGCACCATCCGCAGCCCGGCTGGTCCAGACACTGGCCACAGGTTCTGTACCCGGAGCAGTTCTCGGCTGCAGCAGGAAACACACAACTCAGCAGCAGCTCCAAAACAACGTCTGAAGAATTATGTGTTTACCAGAGTGAAGAAAGAGTTTGTTCTCAGCGGGTTTCCTTCGTGTAACTAAAGGGTTCAGTTAATCAGGCGCTGCCCTGTGAGCGGACGGGAGAGCAAGTTTGTTTTTGGTCCTGTTCCACAAGTTTAAATTAATAACACCACCAACACCTCCACAACAGCTCCTGCTTCCCTCCGCCTGCTCTCCATAGATATTTGCCTATATTTTAATTCCTAACTCTGGGCCCTCCAGGGTTTCCTCTGCTGACAGCTATAAGCAACAACTTGCTCTTAATTGACCTGCCAGGTTAAATAAATGAAAATTGTTCTCTGCTGCGCCGTACAACAACAAAGCAGCAGCCGGAGACCAAGTTATCAAACTATTAACCAGATTATTAATCCCCATCTCGTCTGGTGGAGGGGCCATGCTGTAATATGTGCAGCTAAATGAAGGCAAACACTCCACAGAGCCATGCTTATTTCAAACGCTGCCTTTTTATTTAAAAGTCTGATGAAGATCGCTGCAGAGGCTGAAGTGGTCAAGTACATTAACTGCAGCTGGAGCTTTACGTGACACGACTTCAGATTCATGCCTTCATATTGGTGTTTTTCTCTCTGTCCATAGACTGAGAGTCAAGAATCCTGCCTGAGTGATGGTGGTGTTACATGTAGCTGTTAAAACTTAATCAGAGGTTTAAACTGCATCCTGCAACGTTTCCATGTGTCAGACACAAAGTGTTTATCTGCGGTGGAAACAGTCAGAGATTTGTGAACATTTAAAAGTGAACGTTTTATGTTTAATCAATGAGTTCTGACTCCAGAGATGCTGATTCAACAGCTGCAGAACAAACAGCAGAAAGATTCTCACACTGAGGAACGACGACGCCAATGAGTCACAGACATTATAGATTACAGAGACAAAATAACCCAGAGGCCGAACCTCAGCAGAGGAGACGCCTCGTTTTACTGCTCCCTACTTTCCCTGCAAGTTTCCTCAACACGAGTAAACATTCATTTATCATTGTAAACTTTATCTCCTCATACGAAGATATGTTTGCATGTCGTGTTCAGTGTCTCACATGCTTCTCTGAGCTGTTCCACTCTGGTTAAAGAGATTAATGACTCACTGACTGAATCACATGTTTCGATTTTCCCTGAATTTATTTCCAAATTACACGTTTCTCTCCAAGAAACTTGTTGGACGCAACATCACAACAGTTGTTTAACCAAACACAGACTCATTTATGTGATGAAAAAATAAGATTCTGTGAGAAATTTTAATGAGAAACTTTCTCCAAAAAATAAGTCAGTATCGTCTCTCATTATTCTGAGGTACAAAGTCATTATGTTTGAGAAAGTTTCTCATTATGGTAAGACACTAACTCATCTTAAGACAGTCACTCATTATTTGATACTGATACATTTTTTTAAATACCAAGTTATTATTTCAAGAAAGTTTTTCTTTATTTTGAAAACGAACTAATTTTATCATTCACTAATACTCATTATGGTAAGTTTAAGTCATTTTGGGAAAGCTTCTCTTTATTCTGAGAAAGTTTCTCTTCATTACTTTAAGATACTAACTCAATATTTTGAGACACTAATTCATATTTTTTGAGTTGCTGAGTCAATATTATGAGAAGGTTTTTTTTTTTTGTTACTTCAAGTCAATATTTTGAGTAAGTTTCTCTGTGTTTTGAGACACTGATTAATTTTGAGATGGTAAGTCATTATTTTAAGAAAGTTTCTTCTAACTTTTGGTTGTGCTCTGTGGTCACAGAACATGTTTTTATTGTCTGTACTGAGTGACTCATTTATAAATTATAAATCTATTTATTAATGTACACTGTGCACCACGGCAAGTTTGCAATTTTGTTGTATGTTTGCACATTTAATGATGAATATATTTTCCTAGAAGAATCATATTGACTGTCACATTAAACCTGTAAATGATTATATGTAACAGCGAGAACAGTGAGGAGGATGAGAAGTCTTACGTGGACACGTGTTCATGGTGTACCACTCCATACACTGCCCGAAGGGGAAGGACGCCACGTAGGCGTTGGAGTCGACGCACTGCTTCATGTTGCTGCACCACATGCACTCGGAGCTGCTGCTGGTGCACTCGCTGCAGGTGGTTCTCATGGCACACGGCGTCCGGCACTGCTTGGCACTGTGGTTGGCTGAAGAACATTTTCAACAAGTTAAACTCGTGGAGTGTGAATGCAGAGATTCAGCAGGAGCGCCTCAGGGGAAGTCAGAGCCCTTCAGGTGGTGCTCTCTCTGCTCAACTCTACACGGCTACAGTAAACGAGGTGTTATCTCGAGAGCAGAGAAATATGTTTGGAAATGTGGAGAGCAGATGCAAAATACAAGAGTTGATTCTGAAATATTTTCTAACAGAGGTCAAACAGTCAAAATCCTCATGTAACACAGCTGAATTCTTTTTATGAGAAGTTTTATAATAAGTTAAAATCTATTTACAAATTCATTCAGGCCTCTGGTAAAGTACACTGCTGCCGTTTTACATTGTAAAATATGTGTAAAAATTATTTTCCACAGCTTGTGGCTGTACGACACTGTTTGATAGCAGCTGACACCAGTGACATCTGCAGTTAAAGGAGCACTGCAGCAATTTACTAAGACACAAAATTAGTTAGTTAGTTAAATTAGTTTTGCTTCTTTGCCTCAAACATTAACAGACTTAAACATACATCAAGTATGATGAACTCACCCGGCCGTTCACACAGGCTGCCGTTCACCGGGTTGATGCAGGTCTGTGCTTTCAGTCCGCTGGACGCCGGTTCGGCCAGGTAGCCGCAGAAGCCGGCATCGCTCGGCTCGCCGGGCAGCCACTGCAGAGTGGTGTTAGTGAAGGGTGACATGTCCTCCCAGCACCAGTACGACACGTTGATCTTCCTGAGCCCCACCCAGGGCGTCACCGTAGCCTTGTACTGCGGACACGTGACGACACGCCAAAGTTAAAACAAAGATTTTATTCTATTTAAATTCATCGATGTTCAAAGTTTGACTTTGTTCAACTTCAGTCAAAATTCTACCACTGCCTGCTCCTTCTTCCACTCTTCATGTCAAGTTTCCTTTTTATAGGTTTTCTGTAAGTCGGACTCAAACAGGGCTCACACACATTGTTTAACTACAAAACTTTTCCAGGACTTTTCAAGAACCCATAACAAAAAATTTCAAAACTTTTTACTCTACTTGCCCGGCGTTTTTTTAAACGAACATCATTTTAGCTAGCTGGCAGACATTGAGGGAGAGATGGAACGCAGGGAGAAAATGATTAAACGTACTCACTTCCTGTTCGGACACGGAGTAAAATTCATGACAGATTTTAAGAGTGTGCGCAGCGTTGGTCACACACGATAATACCAAAAGAGATTCAGAGTCAGAACACTGCCATGTGTTTTTGTCATAGAAATATAAGACCCAGGAAGGGGTCCAGTTTGGTGACCTCAGAATTTCATCTCTGTTCTTTGCAGACGATGTGGTTCTGTTGGCTTCTTCACACCGTGACCTCCAACGTGACCTGGGACGGTTTGAGTGTGAAGCTGTCGGGATGAGAGTCAGCACCTCCAAATCTGAGGTCATGGTTCTCTGCATGAAACCGGTGGATTGCTCCCTCTGGGTTGGGAGAGAGTTACTGCCTCATGCGAAGGAGTTCAGGTATCTCAGGGTCTTGTTCACCAATGAGGGTGAAACGGAGCGTGAGCTGGATCAGCAGATTAATGTGGTGTCTGCAGTGATGCAGGCGCTGCACCAGACCATCGTGGTTCAGAGGGAGCTGGGCCAGAAAGCAAAGGTTTAGATTTCCTGGTCCATCTACGTCCCAACCCTCACCTATGGTCATGAGCTCTGGGTAGTGACTGAAAGAATGAGGTCACAGATACAAGCGTCTGAAATGAGTTTCCTCTGTAGGGTGTCTGGGCTCAGCCTTAGAGATAGGGGGAGGAGTCAGACATCTGGAGGGAGCTCGGAGTAGAGCCGCTGCTCCTTCATGTTGAGGTGGTTCAACATCTGATCAGGATCCTCCTGGGCGCCTTCAGGGCAGACCCAAAACACACTGGAGGGATTATTAATCTCATCTGACCTGGGAACACCTGGATCCTCCAGGAGGAGCTGGAAAGTGTTGCTGAGGAGAAGGACGTCTGGGGGACTTGCTTGCTTTGCTTTGGATAACTGAATGGAAATGGATGGATATAAGACCAGACAAAAGAGCTCAACAAGAGCGTTTTAAAGTATCCAAAAGTATTTAGAGTACATTAGTTTGAGTAATCTAATGGAGTACGTTATAAATGACATTAAAGGTCATGTATTCATTAACCTGCAGTGGAATACATTTTAAAAGTCCCCGTCCCAACTCTGGGATGATGTCAGCGATATCTCATCTGACTGACGGAGCAGCAATAAAAGCTGCTTTACTTCTCTCCACCTGGGAGGCTCTGTTATCCATCCCATCTCTAATCGATGGCCGTGCTGTTGCAGTCGTAGTAAACAGTGAGAGCTCGATCTCTCATAGACGTGGGTCGAATTACTGTTCCATCGGGATTTAATTGCATTTCTAGGATTGACTGAAGCCGTCTGGAATAAGTCTGAACTGCCAAACAGCAGCAGCGCTGTCAATGTAACACGGAGGGAAGCATGTTTCTGACTCTCAGAGCCTCCACACACTTTTTATTGCTCAACTGGACAGTTTGAAAACCAATATTATTCCGGAGAAATGAGGTTTTACTTCTTCTCCTCCTTTAAGCACAAAGATCACCTGGAACTGTCCAACAGAATTGAATCTGGACCATCAGGGGAAATCTACACAACTGCATTAGTATGGATGGAAACCGCTCGTCGGTCTCAGCCCTGCTCTGAGATTCAGACTCCTGTGTTTTTGTCTTATTTAGCTGCGACATTACAGATGCCGTGCGGTGGCTGCAGGGCACCTTGTAGGATCCTAAGTGGCTTACATTTTTGCATGGGTGGCTTCAGTGAGGGATGGCGGTGTTTGTGCCTGCTGGGTGAAGCAGGACTGCAGCTGTAACATGACATCATGTTTTATTGAAGTGCGGAGCGGCTCGTTAGAAACGTTCCCTCGCACAGCGTTTGACACGTTCAGGATTGCGTAACGCTCTCTACCAAAACATTTAGACACATTAAGCTGTGATTAGGCCGATAATGTGGCTCCCAGAAAAACAGCTCCCTCATCAGCCTGAAAATTTGAAACATCTTTTTACAGCGGCTGTAAATTCAAAGAATTTGATGTAGGAACTCCTTTTAATAGCACAGGGAATGTGTCCTCCATGTAGAGGCCTTCCTGTTCCTTTAGAGCTGCAAGTAACAATTATTTTCATTATCCATTTTTTCTTGATTAATTAGTGCATAAAATCTTAGAAAATGCCCATTACAAAGTTTTCAAATATTGTTTTTTTTCTCTAATCAACAGTCTAAACCCCCAATATTTAATTATTTCAGATGGTAAAGCAGATAATCGTCACATTGAAGAAGCTGGAACCAGAAATCTCACCACCCTCCTATGATCCATCAGAATGAAGTCCCTGCCCTTCCATTCTTTAGCAATTTTTAATTAATTTCTCTCTTTTTGGACACACATCATCTCTAAAATGAATCAGAGTCCACATCTCTTGCATACTTTTCCTTCATGTTTGACATGACAGGATTTGTTCTAGTCTCTAGATTCAGGAAATAACACAGCACTAATTCTTATAGACCTATTGGCTGCCTTTGACGCAGTCGATCACGCCATCCTCTTGGACCACCTTAAGCATGCTGTTGACCTTCAGGGACCGACCCTACAGTGGTTTGCCTCCTACCTACAAAACAGATCTGTCTCTGTTTCTATAGACAATGTGTCTTCTTCCACTGCACCCATCTCCTGTGGCGTACCACAAGGCTCCATATTAGGCCCCATTTTATCTTCCTTGTATCTGCTTCCCTTGGGGTCTGTTTTGAGATAGTGTAATATGTCACCGTTTTTATGCTGACGACACTCAACATTGCATCCATGCAGTGTCAGAGTCTTAACTTGCATCGAGGATGTAAAATCCTCAAGGTAAAACGCTTTCTTCAACTTAACCAGGATAAAACAGATGTTTAATCTTTGGCCCAACTGTCAAGTCTGCTTCCACAATCAGTGCCCTTGGGTCTCTGTTACTAAACATAACATCACATTTTGGTGAATTCTTTGATTCTAGATTAAAGTTTGATGAACAAATCAACCTTGTCATTAGCACTGGTTTTTACCATCTGAGGTCACTTGCAAATCATTAGCTTGACGTTCCTGATCACATTGCTTAACACATAAATTTTCTGTATTTTATTTTACTGTTTGTCCGATGCTGTTTTTGTGTTATGATTTTGTAGAAATATTGTATGATCTTGTTTGTTTATTTTTTTTCTTATTTCTTTCTTCTTATTTCTTCGGCCCTTTCCAACTGGGAAGCCGTTAACATCTTCAGATCCCCATCGATGCTCTCATCAAACCCAACAGACTCTATTGAGAAAAACAGTGATTTAAAATCACTGAACACATGAGCTGCCAATTTACTGCTGCTTTGATCGGGTAGGCTCCGTTTCCAAAAGGCACTTCAGTTCAGTTCAGTTTAGTTCTGACGTTTTTCTGTTCCCACAGTGAAAAGTTGTGGATGGTACCAACAGAAGCGTTCCTTAGCGTCCACATGTTTGGTCCCCCCTCTGTTGGGGTACCTAGCACACAGATCTGGTACTAAAAGGTGGAGCTAGAAACCCTGCAGTCTGATTGGTCAGTAGAGGACGCTCACTCTGGTTTTATGTAACCTCTGTTCATACATCAGTAAACTACAACTATAAAATGAAAGAGAAAAAATAACTTCATTCACTGGGCCGACTGCCGGCAACTTTTAAGGTGGAACGTTAACTTGTAATGTTACTCAATGCATGAGTTGATGACGTGAATCCATCAGCACACCTTAAATTTCACTGTGACAACTTTGACCATCACTTTAGTTTTTATATGACACACACTTTTAGTAATGACTTTAAAAACATCCTGTGTTCAGGAGTGTTACATTCCTGTTTTCAGCGACTGAGTCTGGCTTTGAGGAGTGCGATATAACAGCTTTAGTTCACTGTCTGAAAGTCTGTCTGACAGCAAGGTAAAGCAGTGGAAATATTCAAAATACGGTATACAGGTGGCTAAAATACATTTTGCTGCTGTCCCCTGACGTCTACTGTTTGTAACACACTGACTGTGGATAATCACCTCAAACAAACTCACTTCAAAAGATCCAAACTGTCCCTTCAAGGCTGAATTCAGTCTGTTTGAATCAGTGCTGCTGAGTGTTTTTTATTTACATCCAACTTTTGAGCCACCACTCAGTGAACTATGAGCTCATACTGGATTTCTTCATCATCAATATTACAAGCAGCCACGAGTGAAGAGAGTGAGATCAAAGCTCCGAGGCCAAACACACATCATCAGACACAAATACAGTAAATCACTCTGTGTTCAGCTCCTCTCAGTAAGTGCAACATTTTTCTCTATAATCTGTGTGTGTTATGTCCGTGCACAAATTAGATTTAAACTGTGCACCTCCCGTCGTTCTCTGTGAGCAGACATGTGACCTGCGTCTGATGAAAGTTCGTCGATTGTTGGGATAGATTTCTGCGTATCTGCTCTGATGGAGCGAGTAAGAGACGTCCGAGCTCGGAGGAAAGAATCTGTTAATGGGAGATTTGTTTCACGCTCGCTGGTCCAAAACTCACAGACAGAGAGAGTCCAACCTGCACACCTGAGAATAAGACGACGCTTCAACAGAAGGCAGCGACCACAAAGACTCTCAGCTGCCGAAACTAAGAAGGTGCACAGCAGTGATGATGAAACAGGAAGTAAAGACGGTTCATTTGTCTTTTCTTCCTTGACTCAGTGTCATGTCTGGTTTCATCTGTACACATACACATCTGCTTCAATGTGATGATCCGCCAGAGAAGAAGCTCAATGAACTGAACGTTCTTCCTCATTTATCTGATATTTAAAACCTCAGTCTTCATCATCTCGCTGTCACTATCTGTTTTATCTTTACTCTCTATGTGTTATCGATATCTCATCCGCTGCTGGTGTGACGACCCGATTTTCCCCGAGGTGAATATTAAAGTTCCTCTAATCTGATAATTATTATCAAGGACTGCCCCCCTCCTCTTCCTCCTCCTCCTCCTCCTCCTTCTCCTTCTTACCACTACGCTCATTATCTGCAGCTCCTTCAGGACAAAGTCCACCTTCTTCTGCGTGGTCAGCGAGGCCAGGACGGCGTTGTGGCTCCTACAGGCCAGCTTGGCGTTGTCGTACGAGTCCTTCGCTGTGATGAACTTCAGACAGGAGTTCCCCACCAGGTGCCAGCTCTCACCGCACACGTTTTCTGGAATAAAGACAACAGATGAAGACTTTGGGGTCAGTTGCACACAGCACCTTCAGTAAAGATTTTCCTTTAAATCTGAGTTAAGGTTTCCTTTAAAAAGCTCAACACTGTGGTGAAGTTCCCGTCCAAACGTTGCAATTTCCTCCGACATTAGTTGCATGTTTGCTGTTATTTTCTTCCTCTGACCAGTTTGGTTTTTGTGTCTTATCTTCTGCCTTTTATTTACTGCTAGGCCGACTTTGTGAGAGGATACTGAGGTGTGACGACAGGTAGCCTGGGCTACAGGTGTATGTTTAAACAAACAAATGGTCTCCATGGAAACAGCAGAATTTTACTGCTGTAAAATCTCTTTCTTTTCAGTAAATGCCTTAATGACTTTCCCTGACTAAGGAATCCTTTTAAGAGATTCTGTGCAACACCCTTAAGTAGATTCCTCAGCTCGGCTTTTGTATCCTTAGAATATATAAAATGATCTATATGTCCTTTCATTCATCGGAAAAAGGCATCAAAAGGTCTCATTTTTGTAGTTTCTTTACTTTAAGTTCTGAAAAATCATTTACTCGTCAGGCTAACCCTTGAGACATTTATTGATTCATTTTCAGTGGAGTCCATCAGAGCAACATGTGTATCAGTGTCTGATCTCATACCTGGCAGAGAGATGCACTCCTGGTTGCGAGGTTCCCACTGACAGTTCTGGTCCACAGCGCAGCTCTTACAGCTGGTCTTCTTGTTGCACACGTATGACGGGTTGTCTTTAGGACAAACGTCATACTCCCCGATGGCTCCCTGAGAGGAGACAGCAGAACATAACTCAACTCTCAAAGTGCCAAACTGTTAAATTTCATAATCCATTAATGACACTCAGTCGTACAGCTCTAAATGAAATGTATTTCATATCGATAGAAGGTTCTAGATCTGTAAGATCTGAAAATAACTGAAGTGTCGTGGTCGTAATGAGACAGAATCTTATTGTGTCCAAGACAAAGATGTTTTATCTGAGGGAACATCAGGTTATCACAAGTATTAGATTATGAAATAAGAGCAGTCAGAGCGGCTGACCCTTATTAATCACACACTTTAGAGACAAGTGAAGATAAGAGCGCTGGAGGAGACACATGAACTGTGTCTGAGCATCATAACTGCCTCTGAATGAGCAGCTGTTTAATCACAGATGGACAAATCAGATCCAGAGTTAAAGACGAGGACGTGCTTCATCAGTTCTTTATCTCATCATCACTCAAATCTGACACATCTCCATTCATAAGATGTTTTAACTTCTGGAGGAAATGAAAGGGAGGGGACAACATGTATGTATCCTATTTAACAATGGAATTGACTGTGTCAGAGTTAGTGGAGCTGTACTGTAACTGACTGCAGGAACCCGCTGAGTCCCAGCATGCCTCATCATCAGCATGGTTAGCATGGTTAGCATTGTTAGCATGGTCAGCTGGCTCAGTTTCCTCACCGTTGCAGAGGTGCAGTTGCTCCCCAGAGACACACACTGGCCCGAGCACCACTGGCAGCCATTAGTGTTGGCGGTGCAGCTGTAGCAGTCTGTGTACTGGTCACACCTCTCGTTATCAGCGTCTGCAACATGACGAAGGACATGGAGTATGAATAGTTGGTTCTACAAACAATGTACGGACAATACAGCCTGAAATATATTTGAAAATAACTGGAGTGAAGGACACATTTTTAACCCAAATGTTTAGTTTCCACACGCCTCGCCTGCTGAGTAAAATGCCCATTTCATTTTTTCATTTTTTTATATTTAGACGACAATGATGAAAAAACTGTACAAATGGTAAAAATGATTGTGGCTTTTAGGAGACAGCAATATCAACAACATACTGTCACATGAATTTTGTAAACACACCTTTAACTTTTTAATCAACATTTTTTCTGATATTTTTTTGAAATTTTTAGGACTTTTCATTAACATTTTTTTCAGACATTACAACAAAATTTGCACACATTTTATCAACATTTCTTTGGAATTTTTATCATTATTTATTTTTATTTTTTTTAAAATACATTTCATTAACATTTTTTTCAGACATTGTAATAATATTTTTCTGAAATTTTTATTTTATTTTTTTAACATATTATCTAACAATTGAATCATATTTTTTGGACATTTTATTCATTCTATTAATACAATTCTCTATGTTGTGCTTCACAGTTGGAGCAGTAATAACCCTGCAGTATCACTCAGTGCGTGAAACTGTTGCATCGTAGCCTGTGATTCAGCAGGCGCTGTCATCATACAGTCTGCAGGCATCACACCTGATGTCGTATCCAAGTTTACCAGATCCATGTGGCACAGTGTGGCTGCACTAAACTTAGATTTATAAAATCTCACATTCTGTAGGAAGATTAAGTTTATTTTGTAAAGGTCGTCGCATGGAACTTTGTCTGTATGGAGTGTTTTCCATGACGAACACAATGTGACGCTGCATGTGGTCAGTAAATCTGCATCGATGCGGCTCGCTGTTGTAGGGTTTTATAAGCAGACTCCTTCCTCGTTGCTTTGGGACGTGCAGCGTGTAGGGAGAGGGTGTAGAGAATGTTTGGAAAAGGCCCTTCAAGTCGTTCAGACTCTGCCGTGAACCACAGATCAGTCGACACTTCCTGGACGTGAGGTTTCTTCTGAGGAAGCTGGGGCAGAGTCACTGGCAGACAGCAGCAGAGCAGGACGGCCTCCCTGGTATTAAATGTGGCTGAGAGATATTCTGAGGCGCAGCTTCCATCTGCCGCCGCTTCTGTGGATGCCGACACTGGGAAATGAGAGCGGCCGTGTTGAGGAAACTCTGGAGTTTTTGTGACAAATGGCGAACAGCAAACAGGGGAGAGCTCTCAGCAGGAAGCAGAGAAACCTGGGCGAGCTGTCTCTGATGATTACATCTTCCTGAGCTATCCCACACACACACACATATATATATATATATATATATACACACACACAGAGGGCAGTAGACCCTGAGAACTGGGACACACTGTCATCTTGAGGGAAAAAATAACTTATATGTAGTGAAATGTGTTTATAGGAGACATCAACACATCAGGAACACACTCCCACACACACTCAGGAGATCACACACAGGCCGCAGCCGACAACTAGTTTCATCCTGAGTTCATTTTGGATTCATTTTTTAATTTAAGTGGAGACAAACAACTTTTTAACTTCCACGTGTCGTGTTTCCAAGTAGCCTCACTGTTGGCTCTGCAGTCACAAGGATCAGTTTCCTCAGAGACACACTGCATTTTGTTCTCCACCGCTACTTCTGTTGTTCCACCGTCGGCCATTTCCAGTACTGAGGACAGTGACTGCCAAGACCACATTCACACATAGATCCCAGTAATTACCAGGATAACCCTTCAGACACTGGTGAGTTTCATACGCACTAAATTCAGGAAAATGTCCATCTTACAACTCTTTACACACGCCGCGTCGATACTAGAACAGACAGGGAGAGAAATAGCCCAGCAGATGGTGGTTAATGCGACTCATATGGACGCTAACTGCCATAAAACTCAAGAGAAGAAGACAATGAGGTGAGGTCGGATGTATGTGTATGTGCCATATTATTATTTTCAGCAACATGGCGAGTGAGGAGCTGGTTATGTCCAGTGACAATGTGTTGTAAGTTATCAAATCACCTGAGAAATGTGTCATCAGCAGAGTCGTGATCGTTCACTAGCTCCACGTAAGAGCTGATGTCTTGAGATGGATGAGACTCTTTAAGAGCTTGTTCCTGCAGCGTTACTGCTTTCAGTCACAACACAGCCGCTCCTGTGTTTTCCCTGAAATGTTTCCAGATCATGAGGTGGGAAATCTGTGGTACTGATTTTGCTGAATTTCGACCCCTGCTGCTGTACACACACGACCCCATGCAGGAAATGTTCCTCAACATTTCATGGACAGACTGCATGTGTAAAAAGGGCTTTACACTGATACGCTTTGGTAACTGGGGATAGCTACTGTGGGGGAAAAGAAGCACTGAACTTTTCCTGTTTTGGCTGCACAACAGCTGACGTTCTTCCTTTTTGCCATAAATGATACCGTATGTTTCCCGTGGGATCGCACCCTGTGACAGAGCTGCTGAAAACGAGGCTTATAGGGAACTAATCTTAACACTGATGGTGTCATTATTCATGACACTGTGTCACACATTTAATTTATCATGACGAGGTTTAGCAAAAATAACCTGTCTATTTCCACTTTAATCTATCTGCTGCTGTTATAACAGTGATACTCCACTTACAGCCCGTGAGCCAAATGTGGCCCACGACAGGGTGCAGAGGCCCGTCGTCCATTTTCTAATTCACTGTGAAAATAAACTGATTCACAGTGCGGATTTTTTTGTACTCTGAATGTAAATCAGGAGCCAGGGTGCATAAAAAGCATCACATTTATAAAAAATAAGCACCAGAGGAGGACCCCTCTCCTACCAGTTAAACCTCTAACAGGAGGCACCCAGGAGGATCCTGATCAGATGTTGAACCACCTCAACATGAAGGAGCAGCGGCTCTACTCCGAGCTCCCTCCAGATGTCTGACTCCTCCCCCTATCTCTAAGGCTGAGCCCAGACACCCTACAGAGGAAACTCATTTCAGACGCTTGTATCTGTGACCTCATTCTTTCAGTCACTACCCAGAGCTCATGACCATAGGTGAGGGTTGGGACGTAGATGGACCAGGAAACGGAAAGTTTCACCTTCTGGCTCAGCTCCCTCTGAACCATAACAATCCGACACTCACTCATGAACAAGACCCAGAGATACTTGACCTCCTTCACTTGGGGCAGTAATCCACACAGAGAACCGTGACCTCAGACTCGGAGGTCCTGACTCTCATCTCAGCTGCAAATCACCACAGAAAATCTTGAAAAAATGTGGATTACAGAGGCCAAGATGACGTCTTCAAATATCTTGTTTTGTCCGACCGACAGATCAGAAACATTTTCATCATAAACTGAGAAAACACTGAATCCTCTCACGCAGCTGGTGAACAATTATCAAAACTGTTGTTGATGATGATTCTCTGTTGATCAGCTGATCAGTGGCTCCAGTGTCGGCACATCATCACACAGAGAACAGTTTCTAAAGAAGCATGAAGGCCATGTTTTCTCCATCTGAAAACCTCACACACACACAAACACCCTGGTGACACTTTTTTTGGCCATTTTCACTCTGATGTGCAAGACTGCGTTGGCAGTCTGTGACAAACAAGTCGTTTCTGCCAGTTTATGCATGCCATCGGACATCAGCGCTGTGAATGCAGATGAGTTCTGCAGACACTCGAGAAAAGACAGGAAGGATCTAAAATAATCTGGGATTAGTTTCACATAGCAGACAAGCACTAGTGTGGGATTTCAAAGCGATGGCAGTGTCACCTACATGATCGTGTGGTGCAGGAGGCCGGGAGCTGCTGCTGCTCGCCTCCGATAGCGCTGCTCTCCCAGGGCAGGCAGGTCCCCTGGGTGCTGTTCCAGATGCAGTGGATCCCCGGCCAGGCCTGGCTGCAGGACGCCGAGCTGGAGAAGGCCGCGCAGCTGGGCGAGGTGTACATGAGGACGTCGCTGAGCAGCAGGCTGTTGAAGCCGCCGAACACGTACATCACACTGCGAGACAAAAGAAGAAGGTTGTTAGAGGACTACAGAGGAGAGGTGCTGAGAAGATGTAGGGGGGATTCAGGAAGTAAGACCGGACGATTTCTACCCCGCAGAAAACAGAAAACTGGCAACTTTCAACCTTTCCTGCACAGTAAGAGCCAGAGAAGCTTAGTCCGAGTGCTCTTCCTCTTCTCTGGGCTTCAGCCCCCCTCACAAGTCTGCTAAATCCCCAACAAGCGCTCTCTTCCTGTACGGACGGACCTGACAGACCCCCCTGCTGTGTGTGTGAGCATGTGTGTGTTCGGATGCTGGGCACAGGGCATTTCTGAACATCTCTGTGCACTGGCCTCTGTTCAGCTGCAGGGATTAGTGTGTGACTGGGACTGTGTGTGTCTGTGTGTGCTGGTGGCAGCGGCTGAGCAGGGTGGATGGGTAATTTGCACCAGTCTGATCAAAAGTCCCCTCGGATCATCGAGGGCACACTTCAAACTGTTGGCTGCGGACGTCCTGCTGAGCACACGGATCAGGAGGAGGAGGATGTGGGAGTCTTGCCGGGGAGCTGCTTCCTTTCTGTCTCATTTACAAGATGAGAGTCATTGTTGCAGAGAAGCAGAGGACGAGCGAGACAACGAAAGGATGCATTAAAATTCTAAAAGTTAAAAGTGACAAGAACAGAGAGATCACTTATAGGGTGAGTTTGGTATTTTTCTGCCTGGACCTTTTGTCTCCACATTGTTGCATGTTAATGACTAATGGGAACAACACTTTTGAAATTGGTTCAGTAAAAATATTTTTATTTTCTGACAACATTTTGGAAAGGATCCCTGCAGAGACAGAGCTTTGTGTTAAAGAGTAAGATTCTTTTTGTTTCACCAGAAACAGCCCTGAAATCTTCCTTAAAAGGCCCAGAACATGAATTCAAAGAACTAGCGGCAACAAAAGTCTCCCACTGTGTCGCCTGACGTCGCCGCGTCTCGGCCAAAAAGTTGCACATGAACACACCACAAAGAATCCAGCCAACAGCCAACCAGCACGTCCTTTCTGCTCCTGCTGAGAGGAAATAAGTCTCCACAGCAGCAGACGGCGGTCGTTTGTAATCGTTATTCAAAAAGGGAAATAGGAAGAGCGTCTTGATGCTAGTTAGCCAGTTAGCACATTAACAACACAATCAGAGCATGTTTAACGTGCGGCAGTGAACAATAACACAAACCATCAGGACCCTCCCCAAAAAAACAAGGTCAAAAAATACCGAGTTTTAGTCGAGCTTTACAGGAAGTCACTGAGGAGACAGGACAACTTTTTGAAGAGTTTCAAAGTTTGTGCGGCCCTGGCGGTGGAGGAACTCCTCCTTCCTTCAGTCTAAAGTCTTGACCGGGTGATCGCAGAGTTTTGTAGCAGGATGTGAGAAAAGCTCACAAATCTGTGTTGGAGCCCGACGGTGGAGCGCTTCAAAAGTAAAGAGTGAAAATCAATTGAGATCAAGTGGAGTCCGACGCAATGAGAGGGAATCTGTGATGTCTCTTATTTGTCTGACTTGTTCACCAATGAGAACGTCTCCTCCTTATTTTCCTGCAATCAGTATTCTCCCCTCAAAACCCAAACCACAACTTTGTCTTTGGGAGAACTTCTTAGAGTGCATTTGTGCAGACTCTCTTAATTCCTCCGGACTACACTTTGCTTTTTTTTGCCATCATTTTATTTTACTGTAAAGTGCTCTGAAACGTTTTTCTTTCAAAGCTTCATCTCACTGCCCTAAATTCAGTCCTGAACTCGGAGATTGCGTTGAGTCCGAACTGGATCAATGACCGAATGCATGAACAAACTCTTAATTGCTCCTGAGGAACAGCAGTCATCAGCGAGGATTGACTCAAACAGGGCTGGTGATTCATGTTAATATTTGATGTCTTCTCTACAACAGGATGTATAATTTAATATGGATCACTGTGGCTTGCTCTGCCGGCGGTGCAGATAATACTTAGGATGAGTCATCCCTCCTGGTCGCAGCACCATCCCCATCACTATCTATTCACAGCGCACACTAATAATGAAATGTCATGTATGAACGCACAGTGGATTATTTTCCAAGGTAACAAGCTTTTTTCTTTTTCAGTTACGCCGTCTGTCAATCGGCCTTGGTCTGAGTGGAGTGGAGTGTTCGTCTTTTCTCCCCGCGCTGCCGCAGAGTTTACAGTACACTGTGCTTACGTAACGTTTTCTCTTTGTCAACTCAGCACAGCGAGCTTTTATGAATTACAATATTGCAAAACCAAGCAATCTGAAATGTTCTATCTGATCACATATTCAGTTTTATGAGAAATGATTCATGTAAAAATCAGAGAGCATCTGCACACTGGAAATCCCAAGTGCACTGAGAAGTGATCATGAATAAAAGAACCAGGAAGAAAACTGTAATTTCCCATCAGAGAAGATGAAAAGTCCCGTAATGTCGAACTTAGTGCGACGCATGTGAGGAGAGGAAAACTACATATTTAGATCAGACGCAGTCCTGAACATGTTTGTTCGTCTAACATGTTCCATTTGGATAATTCTTTAAATACCATGAGTGCATAATTAAAAATGAGTGGGCCGCGGTGGAAATAAAACCTGTCACCTCGGTTTACATGCACTCAGGAAAACAAGGTTACTGAGAGAACCAAGATCTGAGAACATGTTTATATTCACTGCAGTAACCTGGCAGATTATTACTCCCCACTTATTTTAAGAGAGCAAAATGTTTCTGGTGTATTTTTGACAAATTAAAAGGAAGGAGAGAGCATGAAGTGTTGGTAGAGCCTCCAGAGTGTCTTCAGTGCTGCTTGGCAGTGGTTTTACTAAGCGTTAACCTCCGGGGCTGAAACAGGAAGCTAAAACCTGCAGTTCCTCTAATGTCCACTAGAGGCTGGCTCCAAGAGTGAGTCAGTCCCCACAGACCTCCATGTTAACATGTAGAAATAAACATGTTTACAGCCTGGTACAAAAAACAGTTTGTTCTCTATAGATAAGTTCAACATTGAGAGCTGAAATATGTTCAGCTTTTGGTAAAAGCGGCGCCCTCATCACCGTCGCTTCAGCCGTTCAGTCACAGTGGAGGACGGACGAATACCGTGAAGACAAACATCACATCTCACATGTACAAGTGTAGAGGAGAAATCTGTTAACATGCTGTAAATATATTATGTTTCCTCTCATGAACCTACAGAGCAGCAGATCCGTCCCCTCTCCCTGCACGCTTCATCCTCCCATACATCCAAAGCAGGTTTTCAACCCTTTGCCGAAATGTTTACATCTGCGGATATTCCAAATCAAAGTAACCAGACGCAGCCAAAGCATCTCAAACGCCTCCAGTTTGCGTTTTCAGAGGAGCGCCTCGTGTTTTCAGCTGAGAAAAAAACACTTTGGTGGACATGGGGCCTTACGCCCAACCTATTTTAAGAGAGTTGTTACATTTCCAATATATTAGTGACAAACTACAAGAAAAGGAAGAGCTTAAAGTTTTGGTAGAGCCTCCTGAGTGTCTTCAGTGCTGCTTGCCAGTGGTTTTACCACACACTAATGACCGGGGCTGGAAAATGAAGCTAGCACAGAAGTGCCAAAACGTGCAGAGACAGTTTTGGTCTCGAGCAAATTTAAACATTGATGACGACTGTACAGGGCTGAAGAAGAATTTTTATATAACTAACTTGTTTATATTTTAAATAATACAACGTTGGTTTGGTAATGTAACCATAGTAACCCCAGAGTCACGGAGTACAGGCGGTATAGCTGTCACTATTCCACAGGATCACCACACATTTTCTTTCCATTTTTTTTTTTTTTTAAAGATATTTTTTAGGGCATTTTTGGCCTTTAATTGATAGGACAGTGAAGTGTGAAGGGGAAGAGATATGCAGCAAAGGGCCGCAGGCTGGAGTCGAACCCGGGCTGCTGCGGCAACAGCCTTGTACGTGGGGCGCCTGCTCTACCACTAAGCCACCGACGCCCCAACACCACACATTTTCATGGACAACATTTCCAAACTTTTTATGACCTTTTAAGAACCCATAATTAAATTGTATAAATAATATTACTAGCATTGGAATTTTTGTTTCGTAGAATTAGATTCCAGTGGTGGCTTCGTAGAATTGTTTCCAACTTGTGTGACTGAAACATTTCCAATATCTCCAGAGAGTTGTCAAGTCTAAAGATCATAACTTATTGAAAAAGATAGATATAATTCTGTCACAATAACGTGTTAATTTAATTTAATTAATCACAGAAAAAAATAACACTTTAAAAAATAAACTCTGATTAATAGCGTTCCGTGGTGCCCTTTGACCCGGTGCGTCACTGAAGGCCACAGTGTCTTTGTCACATGATGGAGGCAGACGTGAACGGAACATTAACATTTAAAAAACACCCAGATGGAGCTGTTGATAGGAGCAGCATTCTCTGCAGGTTCTGTTTGCACCATCGGAGAACATCAAGTCTGAAATATCACCTCAACACAAAACATTTAGGTCAGAGCTAGCATAGCCTCTGATGCTAACGCTAGCAGCCAGCATCATCACATCACACTGGACCAGGTGTTCAGACTGAGTCAGTCTACCTGTGACAGACTCACTAACTCCCTTCAGACCAGTGTGGGTGGTCGAGGACAGGAGGGACAGCTGTGTCCAACATCCTGCAGCTTTACTACGTCACATCTGACAACATTCATTACAACTGAAATGTTTTAAATACTTTCACAACAAAGATGTATGAGATTAATTGATGACTGAATCACAGAGCAGGTCATTAATTAGATTAATAATACTCTGCTTCGATCTTAATATGTTGGCACTGAGCCTTTCAGAAACATTTTCACTACAGTCACTGTTTCCCACCTGCTGCACACAGAGAGGCCCACACCTGTATTCACTGCAATCTATTATTCACGTTAGAAAGACTAACTCCTTTAATCTGATGAATCACTTCGTTTCAAACTGGGGATTTTGTTTGAGGCTGTTTTTTAAGGGTGATGACGTCTTAAAATATTCTGAGGTTCTTTTGAAAAACTTCTTCATTTGAAAAATTTGCCACAACTTCACTTTTTCTCATTTCATTTTGTATTTCATATCCACACAGTGTTTGTGTGCAGCTCTGAGCTGTTAGTTAAGTGCTGTGTAAATGATTACCTGTCGCTGAAGACTGCCGAGTGTCCGAAGCGATTGACGTCGTGGTAAAGGTCCGGTCGAGGCAGCACCGTCCACTCATCACACGCTGGAATGAAAAGACGACACAGAGGGGTCAAACTGTTGACCTGCGCCCACACATTAAATCATACATGTCTTCAGTACTGGGAAATGCAGCGGACACGCCATGAGTGGATGGTGAGGCCTCTAACAGCTCGTGTCCTCGTGTCAATCAATGAGGAAGACGGCAGATCGTCCTTGACCGAGACACTGAGAGCCTGTCGGCCGCAGGAGCAACAAACATGCTGATGAAATACAGCCGGGCACCAGTGCGTGTCTCTGACATGTGAAAACACAGAACGTACAGTAGAGCTGTGCTGCAGGTCACAGCTGAGGGGTTTCATCCAGCCTCGGCCTTTTCTGGTTTTATTTTTAAAGGCCCATTTCTGGAGGTGTTTTTGATTTTCTTTGATATTTGTTTGGACAAATTCACCGAGCCAGGATCAAACCGGAGAGACCATACGTCTGAACCTCAGACAAGGAGCCCACAGGGATGCTGCACAGTCACGGCCATGTCTGTGAACACTTCTCTCCCTCTTTGGTTCCTCTTTAGTTAAACCTGACTGAAGAAGTGAAAATAAGGAAAATATAAACTGTTAGCAGTCTCCACATACAGAGATGTTTGCTCAGTTGTTTTGATGCTGTGACAGATGAGCAGCCTGATCAGGGTTTTCCTCTCGTCCCCCTTTTTTCCACCTAATCAGCTCATGTTCTGGATTTTTGGAACCTTGGTGCTACCAAGCAAACACGAGTCAAGACAAGACAAGAGTCACATGGATTAATTTTGTCCTGTTATCACAGATGTTTGATGCTATCCACAAAAACAATGTGTTATTTTGGGCACAGCACACGTGTGTGTTTTTCTTGAGCGGACGCTGTGTTTTAATAGTTGTTGCTTTATTGTGGATTTCTGTATTATATGTTGTATTCTTTGCATTTTAATGTGTTCTGATTGGCTGCTACCTCGAACAGGTCTCTCCTAATGGGACTTCCTGGTTAAATAAAGCTTAAAAAAAATCAAGCACGAACCAAATATTAATGAGATGACTGCATGCTGCTTTTTTCTGACAACTTTTCACTTGACCTCTCCGTTACAGACGTCTCCATCCTCTCTTTCCAATTTTTACAATATGACACGCCCACTGATGTCTTCACAGTTTGCACTTCAGGTCAAGACAGAGCCACTATTTTCTGGTTCATGCTGTGAACCAACTCAAAGTGAGGTGCAGGAACTGAAGCAGAACTGTGCGTCACATGGTTTGTGTGTTACTGCAAATGACCATACTGCTGACCTGTAACTGCATGTTTTAACTTTTCATTAAGATCTACATGACGACTGTTGTATTCTATCTGTGTTTATTTTATGTTGCTGCTCTGTGTGTCTGCGTGTGATGCTGAGCTGTGTGTTGGTGCTTCATGTTGTTTGCATGTCTTCTGTCTTCTTCTATGTTGAGAGATTCTGTTTGTTGTAGTTAATGCTGTCATCATGTCTTCATGCTGTCTTCATGTCTTTGTCCTGTGAATTTGATCCTTTTATTGGTCTCCAAACATCTCGCCAAAGGACTGCAGGTGAAAATTAGCCAGCTGACTGACACTGGCACATTTACAGAGATGTTAATTAATGTGCATTTCTCCTTTTACATAAAATAAATGAAATGAAAAGCGGTATGGAGGTGCTGAAGGGAGAGGAACAGACAAAGGTAATATATTGTAAATATTTTATCGCAACACTCGGCATTTTGCAACATGTTTAAATTCTCAATAATATTTCATCTTGACTTCTGTATCATGATAATATCATATCGTGGGAGACAACCTGCAGCACTGGAGCCACATGTCTCCTGTGACTTCAAAAACATTATATGAAAATAAATAACTTTATTATTTTTTTAAGATCTTAATTTTCATTCATCACTGTTGTAGGCCGAAAGTGATTCTTAAATTCCCCAGTTGTAAAAGTATGTAGCCTTTACACTGAATGAAAAAATGTTTTAACATTTTGTGAACTACAATGTCCTTCATCAGTCTGCAGCCTGGTGCTGTTTCCTCTGAATTAAACCTCAGTAGTAACAGCTGGTCTTGTGTCTCCGTAGCTAAGCTAGCAATGAATTCCAAATCCAAAAAGACCTGGAAATACTGAGGATTTATTAGTGTGGACATGTCTGTTTGCTTTCACCACCAACACTGCAAAGGCATAGAAACAAATAATCATAAAAATGTTGTGTTAAGATATATTAACAAATGCTTATTTAGACCTGTTGGCGAATTTAGACTTATCAGGCTGTGTCACCGTCATTATAAGGCTCAAACATGTTTTTGCAGTTCCAGGTATTTTATTTTTGTTTTGGTCAAGATGGCTCTTTGGTAGTAAAGGTTGCTGACCCCTGGTGCTCAGGGTAAATTTGGGTTACAGCAATCTCAAAACTCAGCTATCAGTCTAACAGCGATTTAGCCTCTGGAGGCAGTATTGTGGGCGTCCAGGTGTGGCCAGCAGATATCTGGATAATTGATATCCAGGCCAAGACTTCGTCTTCAGAGTGCTGGTAACTGTTTAAAATCTAATTAACAACTTGAGACGTGACATACACAGAGTCATGATGCTCAGTAAACAGACAGCTGCACATGAACGCAGATAAATAAACTAATAAAAAGCTGAACTGTCATCAGGTGACTGCAGGTGGGTTCTGAGGCCAGTGCATTGCTCTCCACACACTGTTTTCCTGCATGCAGCCAAAGCTCGCTCACATGTGACTGGTCGATACGACTCTGACTCCAAACAGACTTCTCCGTCCCACCTACAGATGTATGGAGATATCTGTTAATGGAGATCAGAGCTCTGATAGCTGGATCCATTTCAGATCTGGTCGGCAAAATATCCACATTCATTAAGATGTGACCAACAGATGTGTTCTCACCACCTGAGATCTGTTACTGCTCCTCCTTCATCATCAGCACAGAGACATTACAAACATAAGTTTATCCAAATAACGTCACTGTTGCTAGTTAAAAGACAAAACAACAAACATTAAAGCAGATTAAATCAGATGATACAGGACGAATCATCCAGCTGATTACATCACATCGATCAAAGAGAATCTCCCAGTCAGACCTGTATACTTATCACATCCATATTTTGGGCGTATGGCCTCAGTCATCCTGCATCATGACCTGCAGCATTTAGAGCAAGTAGCTTGTGAAAAATAAAGTTAATCTCCTCTGCTGCTGCGTCTCATTTTCAGCTCGTAGCTGCAGGTCATGAACACTGATTAGACCGCCATTACACTCTGGAGTGTTTCAGCCGACAAGGAGTGACAACACATCTGAATCTTTACGCTGCTGTTATTTAGAGCTTGTCTGTTAATGTTAGAAGGTAAATGTGAAGAGACTGGATGTGAGGGATCTGAGAGGATGTCACTGAATGTTCACACACTCACACCTTAAAACAGGATGAGGCCAAAATATGATAAATATGATGAATAAGGTGCTCTAAAAAGGACAAGACAAAGTGCATTTGCTGTTACTGTACATCAGTGTGTGGCAGTGCAATTTAAAATCGGGAGTGAGAGGGATTTTGGGGTGAGAGTTCAGATTGTGTTTGGCTGTGGGGTAAAAACTGTTCCTCAGTCTGGAGCTGCAGCGTTTGTGTGAACAGCTGGTGGACAGGGTGAGTACTGTCCTTAACAGTCCTGCAGGCTCTGCTGTGGCAGCGAGACCTGGAGATGTTTTCCAGGGGGGGAAGGGGGGAGACTAATAGTTCTTTGTGCTGTGTTGACCGCCCTCTGGAGAGCCGCCCTGTCTGCAGCCGAACAGTCCCCACACCAGGCTGTGATACAGTACGACAGGATGCTCTCCACTGAAAGACTCAAGTAATTTTGCAGAGAGGTTGCTCTTAGTCAGCTTCCTGAGGGAGTGTCGTTCACAAACGCTCTCAACTGCTGTGTTTGCGCACGCCGCCATCTTGTGGATACAGATGTGCAGACGGCTATAACGAGCAGATTTTGGACGATTTTGGCCCAACAGGTGTAACACAGACCTGAACAAGAATACGTAGGAACACTACAAGCCAGAGATGTGGACTCGAGTCACTTGACTTGGACTAGGGATAAACGTCCATTTGGGGTCCTTACAGGGCCGGGTGATATAACAACTATGTGCAATATATTGATATCTTTTCAAGAAAGATACAGATTTAGACAACAGCGTTTGTATCGATACAGGGTCAAGTTGGGTTACTTAAGGAACACCAGTGTTCATCCCGCCTCACAGCTCCGCCCCCTCACTCACTCACAAGTCCTCCAGCAACACTCAGGAACCCTTTTTAAACAGGAGTTGTGCAAATTTGCAGGAAAGCCCAATCAGTCTTTTTTCAGCATTGGCAGTATAAAAACAAAATCGGGGAGTGCAGCAAAATGCCGCCTACCTACTTTTGTTTATACAGAATGTGCCTTTTTCGGGGCAATGGGGGGCGTGAGCAAGTAACAAAACGTGTAGCTCAGCGTGTGACGTAAACAGTGACGTGGGAGGGAAGCCGCGGCTGGTCAGTCCTTCGGTGATTCTCTCGTAAGTCGGCCCGTTCTTCACCGTCCCCGTCATCTGACGGTTAATGGCCTCTTCGTTTGCGAGGACAAGGAGGGCGCGCAATTCCTTGTCTCCCCAGTTGCTCATCTTTACAGTGTCTGTCAGGTTTGTGTTTCCCTCTTGCTACTAGCTGCTCGCTAATTCCTGCTATCAGCTGTTTCCTGTTTATCCACCGCCAGTGGCTCGCACGTGCTGCGTCATCAACAGCTCCTCCCACAAGTCATCATCAGCCCCTCCCACAAGTCATCAACAGCTCCTCCCACAAGTCATCAACAGCCCCTCCCACAAGTCATCAACAGCCCCTCCCACAAGTCATCAACAGCCCCTCCCACAAGTCTTTAACAGCTCCTCCCGTTGCAGAAGGCCGCCTCGGTCTGTTTAAACTAAAAGGGTTCCTCCAATATGTCTACCCTACGAGGTGGAAAATTGGTCACCTCGGATCAACTCTCC